GACTTCCCACATAATAATGCTGCCTCTACCCTACTTTATAGTGGAATTTTATTAACAAGTTTATTCTACATGTTAGCGGCTGAAATTAGTTTCCTCCGAAGGGTGGCCGGGCTCAGCTATAGAGATAGGGTGAGGAGCTCTGACATTCTGGAGGGACTCACAGTAGAACTGCTGCTCCTCCGCATCGAGAGTTGGCAGCTGAGGTGGTTCGGGCATTTTGTCAGGATGCCGCCTAGACATCTTCCCGAGGTGGTGTTTCAGGCATGTCCTGCTGACAGGAGGCCCCCAGGCCAACCCAGGGCACGTTGGAGCAAGTACATCTCCAAACTTGCCCAGGAACACCTTGGGGTCTTGCCGGAGGAGCTGGTGGAGTTGGCTGGTGAGAGGGCGGCCTGGGATCCCCTACTTGAGATGCTACCCTCATGACCCGGACCTGGATAAGCAGAGGAAAATTCATGAATGAACAAATGTTAGCAGTTTAATTGTTTCTTTATACAGATGGACCTCTGGTCTTTTCTTTGTCATATTTTTTGCTCGGTCAGCCAAAATTGGTAAAGGCTTGTTATTTCTGTTTCTTTTTATGTAGATAATTGAATTATACTGGACTGGCCTGATGAAGCAAACAGTTAGCTGCTATGTTAACCCTTCTACCAGTACAGAGATAAAATACTTACACATAAAAGTTAATAAATTATACCAACTTTGGTTCTGAAGATGTTCACTATCCTTCCACGCCATCTTTGCACATCCGCATCCATATTGACTTGCATGTTGTCTGAGTTTTGAATGTGTCCAGCTGTGCGTTAATCTCGTAGGCTAATCCAATTCGAACAGGCTGAGGAACAGAGAAAAAAACTAACTCGCAGATGTTTCATAAGCTACATCTGACTGATGAAACATTGTGCTCTGCTATAATGCTAAAGCAGATTAACCGAAGTTGGGGATTGTTTACGCTAGCTGTTTGAGCGGAGTTTCCTGTGTTACATCACTAGCCACCCAGGGCATAGATCGGAAACAGTTTTGCGTTTGTTTGTTTTTTTGCCACGGTACTCAAAAACATCAGCTTTTCTTCAAAATCCTGCTGTGAAAATCCAATAACCCTTTACCTCTGAGGTTTTAATGGATTACCACTGGTATGTGAAAAGCTTTACAAGCTATATGGCAGAAAAAAGCTCCAGAAAACCTTTCAGACTGTACCTTTAATGTGTTAAAGAGATATCAGTGGCATCAGTTACAGTATGGTTTTAATTACTGCTGATTTCAAATGAACCATTTGAGTCAAAAACATATCAGCACTCGTTACAGTATGGTTTTAATTACTGCTGATTTCAAATGAACCATTTGAGTCAAAAACATATCAGCACTCGTTACAGTATGGTTTTAATTACTGCTGATTTCAAATGAACCATTTGAGTCAAAAACATATCAGCACTCGTCTCATTCCTCATGTGCTTTCTCTTCTTCTGTCTTAAAGGCACGTCAGCCACGTTGGATGGAATCCAAGCACGGGTTTTGATGTAAGTACCATGTGACAGCCAGACCTTCCTAAAATACATTTAGCAGATAAATATTATAGAAGCGTCTTTGACACACAAGAAAAGTCACCACCTGGTTTTACAATCTGAGGTCGCTGCAGCTGTTCAGGCTTAGGCTGAAAGAATGAGGTCACCTGAGTAGGGCTGCAACAACGAATCGATAAATTCGATGAAAATCGATTACTAAAAGCGTTGGCAACGAATTGCGTCATCGATTCGTTGTGTCGCACAACTCTTCCAAAAGCGCCCCCCCTTCCCGCCCGCCGTTGCGCTTAGACCAGAGCAAGTCAGATCAGCGCGAGGGAGAGCCGCAGATCAGCGCGAGGGAGAGCCGCAGATCAGCGCGAGGGAGAGCCGGTACCGGCAGATCAGCGCGAGGGAGAGCCGCAGATCAGCGTGAGGGAGAGCCGGTACCGGCAGATCAGCGCGAGGGAGAGCCGGTACCGGCAGATCAGCGTGAGGGAGAGCCGGCAGACTTGCGCTGCTGCGAACCGGTTCCGCATTGTTGCGCAGCGATCCAGGCAGCTGCTTCCAGCGCACGGTCCATTCTCAAAGTGGCGCAACCAAAAAACTATAATTAGCACACGATCGTTCATGTCCGCACATGTTCTCTATTTTCTGTCTTATTTGTGCCTGACGCTCGCTACTGCGGAGCTCATCACCTATGCTGTGGTGATGTCACCTCACGCAGCATCGAAAACGCGCTCTGCGCTTTTCGGTCAGGAGATCCCTTTGATCTGCTCAAAAGTAACTGATGAGGTGAAAAGGTAAGAATCCAGGCAACAGATTTTCTGGAGAATTAAGAGGAGATGCAGGAAGATGAGAAACAGACAGGACAGGAAATAGTTAAATAAAAACAAGAAAACAAAACAAAGTGTTGAAAAGTAAAATGTAGGTAGATTTATCTCCACTACACGTTTTTACCAGTAAAAAACAATAAGTTCTACACATGTAATATTTATACATCTGATACAATTCAGATCACCTTCAAAACTCAGTCACACACCCAGGGCCGTTTCAAGACATTTTGGGGGCCAAGGCAAAATGCCCCCCCCCCCAATAACTGGGCTCCCCAGAAGCCTCTGTGTAATTCATGCCCTCTCCAGTAGTGTTAGTTATACGGTGTTTATAAAAGCCCCTCAGACATTACTGACATGCTCTAATATTATCAGATGAAAAACTAAATTATCAGACATGCTGTCTCATCTGCTTCTTTTATAAACTTGCAAAAAGTAACAAAACCATTTGAAAGCCACTATTTGTGGATTCTCTGAAAGTTTCCATGGAGTTTGTGACAACTTATTTTTTCATTGATCCTATCGTCTAATCTCACAGTTGAAACAAGCATCCTTAATAATCTGTGCACAGGAAGCTTACCGATGCTGTAGTAAAACAAAAGGTATAATAATTTATTATTAATAAAACCTTGTTGCAGCACTAAAGCAGAAAAATTAGATTTTGCATTAAATATGCAAAATATTTACATATGAATTGTTTTAGAGCCCTTTAATTGGCAGAATCTGATATTAATTTAGTTCTTACAAAAAATGGGTCCCAACATGGTTTGTGTGGCGTTGCCATAGTGTGACGTCATAGGCACAGATCCCCTGTCCTCTTGTTTGGAAATGGAAATATGGTCACCCTACATTAAACAAACTGTCCACCCGGGCTTTTGCACTGCACAGAGACGCTTCGCTGCCTACGACTGAACGTCAGTTGAGAGTCAGTCTCATGCAGACTGACCAATGAAGAGAGGGCCTCAAGTTAAGACCCTCTCCTCATTGGTCAGTCCACACGAGGTGGGTCAAAGGTTACTCTGGGCGGGTTACGTGTTGTCAGGCATTCAAGTATTGAGTATATTTACTGCATATTACAGTAAAATATTCTGTATGTGACCACATTATGGTGATCCTTGGGTCGTGATGATGGAGCCCTTGAATATTGTTGCCCAGGGTACAACAAAGTGTTAATCTGGCCCTGGTTCCGCCGTCACATTCCCGCAGAAACTGGTTGATCACACCGGGGCCAGACTACTAGCATGTGGTTTCACAACCACAATGTCCTCAGAAGCAAAAACGCTTTTAAAAGGGAGGGAGGAGTCCTAACTGTTGCTGCAGGCGTGTTGTGTGAGAGTGCAGTTATATACTGGTTAATATATTTTTAGGTTCAGTTGCTTTCATGTGGCCTAATGTGAGTCTATTTGGGATCATTGGAATGATCAGCAGCATTTCTTGATGTGACTTTATGGCAGTTGCCCAGGGCATCATAGCAAGGAGGATGGCATTCATTTACTTTTGTTTTATTTGGTATTTTTTCAGTCATTTTTGGAAATGGTGATCAATTTTGATTAATTCACAGCCTATGTTTAATTACATTTAAAATAAATGTCAACAGATGAGATCAAACAAAACAGATGAGAATTGCCCTTAAGCTGTTTAACTTGGACCAAGCATTTTAGGTCACAGATAGATGTAGCTTAGGGTCTCTGTCTATACACCTTATAAGACAATTTAGGTGATGGCATGTTGTTTTTCTGCTATTGAACTGTTTTCTAATAATGTTGTGTTAAATAAAGTGAAGGAAGGAGAGAAATAACGTTTCCCTAGCAGTTTTTAAAAATTTCCCCATGTAATCCGATTAATCGATTAATCGTGTCGAGACCCCATCCGATTAATCGATTATCCAAATAATCGTTTGTTGCAGCCCTACACCTGAGGATACTGAAGGACCGGGTTATCCCATCAATGGATTTTTACTTCCCTAATGGTACGGACATATTCCAAGAGGACCATGCCACAGAGTGGTTCAGGGAGTATGAGGACGTCTTTCTCACATGGATCAGCCACCAGAGTCCAGATGTTACCACTACTGAGAATCTTTAAAGTAGTGATGCACCGATATGAATTTTTTTGGGCCGATTCCGATATCCGATTATTGAGATCACTGTTATGGCCGATAACCGATATTTTCCGATGCCGATATGCTGACATTAATGCTTCTAAAATCAGAAAATTTTGTATAGAATGAAAATTATTAAAGCTGAATTTACGTTATTATGCACACACAACACACACACTTACGGTACTGAGAAGATTACGATCACTGTTCACATGACTAAACAATTACACATCACCCCTTCACCCTCTGAAACAGGCAAACATATGGAGACAAGATGGAAAAAATATCGGTTGTTAATATCGACCCAGTTTTATTTATCGGACCGATTCCGATATGTTAAAAAACGACCAACATTGGTCGATATCGATGCCGATATATTGTCATCCCTACTTTAAGGAGCGCGTCACCTCCAAATCAACTTTTTTTTTTGCTGATAAACTATGTAACTGAGTGTCTAATCATGCTGTAGACTCGTATAGTTGTCACTTTAGTGCATCTCAATTAAAATTTACATATTCTGCCTAAAACTGTCAGTGTTGCACCTTCGTCACTTAAAAACTTTGCACTGCATTTGATTTAAAATCTGTCACAGCTATTGGCTAAGAGGTATGCCATGATGTTAGCTGGTACATTATGATGTCACAGTGTCATTGTGAACCTGCGTGTGTGCATTTGTTAGCAGCTCCTCCCTGTCGGTCTGACAGGCAACAGCATTTGTAGCATTTTTCAAACATGAGTGGATTAAAGCTCTTTTAGGTGGTGACTTTCTCTTTAAGACAGGCATTAGAAGGTTTTGTGCAGTGGCCGGAGCTCATCATCAATACAAGACCTTGGTGAAAAATAAATGCGTCACTGGATGCAGATTAATCTAGTGGCCCTGCAGAAGCTTAATGAAACAACATTGAATGTGTGTCGTGATCAAGTGGGAACCCCAGGCACCCAGAACTGCTCCCAACACTGAAGTGCCAACAATTGCAGTTCCACCCTCATCCACTAGGGGCTGGATAAAAAAAACTAATCCTCATTGACTCCCATGTTAAAAATCTCTATTTCGCAGCAGACATAAACATGTTTACAGCCTGGTTCTAAAGGCCACTTTAGGTTTAATAATGCCTAGTTTACAGTCATGACAACTCTAAGGGTGGTGAGCTCCACCTCTTTTCCCATTTTTGGATTGTCTAGGGATGACAAGACATGTGCCACGGCCAAAATGGTGGTGGTGGGAACTGCCTTTTCTGCCTCAAAATTGAGAAATGGGTGGTCCTGTGTTCAGTCCAACAAAATATTAATGGTGATTTTTGAGTCAGTTTAGGAAGAACATCTTCTTGATCCATTTCCACTCATATTAACCAGTAATACCTAAAGACCATTCAGGTCAGTGGACTTACGCACCAGCTAGATAATTATTCTGTCATAAGTTAATGCTTCATAGGATTTAGCAATTTGGCCTTAAATAAAGGTGGCTTACTTCTTAGCATGGACGATTTTTATGGTCCTACAGCTCCTTCATACAAACTTTCACATTAAATAAGTTTTACAGCTTATCATCAGACTTTAGTCGTGCTGCTCTGAATTCAAACTTCTGAGGTTTTAATCATTTTTGATTTAATGTAGATAATAAAAAGTTCTTAAACTCCTCGTTTCTTCGTTGTATGCCGACTGGATGCAGATGAAAGGATGAACAGCATAATACATTCACCACGAGAGGGAAGCAGAAAAAGGCAAATTTTATCATGAGATTTTTATGAGGTCACAGAAAAAGGTTTCTTCTCACATTTAGATCCTGGTTTAATCAGCTGACTGGGCAAAAAATACTTAGACTTTTTGTTTATTGTTTTTTAAAGTGTGCCTCTAAACCTTAAAGTGTGCCTCTAAACCTAACGGAACCAAAAAATTGTCCTGGTTTTTAAGTCAGTTGTATATTTAAGCTTTTAAGCTAGTTTTGTTCAGCTTTGCTGTACAAAACATTATTTTTTGGTTGGTTGGGTGGTTGGTTGCAGAGGTGGAAAGTAACGAATTACATTTACTCACGTTACTGTAATTGAGTAGCTCTTTGTATATTTATACTTTTTAAGTCGTTTTTA